TTATACAGAAGGAACTGTCATTCCCACTGCAAATATTTTTTATTTAATTTTAATTTTAAATTTAATTTTTATTTTATTTTTCATTTTATTTTTTATTTTAATTTTAATTTTTAATTTTAATTTTTATTTTAATTTTATTTTATATTTTTATTTTAATTTTAATTTTATTTTTAGTTTTTATCCAGACTGAATAATAACCCATCTCATTTATACAGAAGGAACTGTCATTCCCACTGCAAATATTTTTTATTTTTTTAATTATATTTTTCATTCATAGTTTTTGTTTTTTCACAATGATAAATTAATTTATTTTATATATTTACACAAATCATATATTTAAGTATAATTAATTGATGTAATTATTTGATTATCGGTGGTACACTTATGAATTCATTATATCACATAAGGTAAATATATTGGGAGCGCGGTACACTACTGGGCATTCGTGAACATTTTTAGTGACAGCAGGGTTAGCTGAACGTTTTGATATATGATATGTGTAGGTGGGCTTGAAAATGAAAGAGTGATGGCAGTTTACTACAAATCCATGTTCTGATTTTTCCTTCCACACTGCAGCTTTCTCACTTCTCACTCTAATGTGACTCAGCTGCCCCTGAGGTGACCTTTGGTGCACAGACTGTGACTCAGTCAGTCACAGGTGTGTGAGAAAGCTCTGTACTTCTAAAAAACACTGCTCAAACTTGCCAAATTCCACTGGCGATTGCCATCTTCAAACGCTTGTAGTTTTTAAAAGTATAAATGCTACCAGTGAAAAGGTTTATACTGTGACAATCACAAGAAAATCAGACCTAAATTTTGATGTATAGTAAATGTCTCTGCAATATTAAAAATGAAGGCACAGTCGCAGTTTAAAAACGTCCCTTAACATTTCAGGTGGCTGTGAGTGAAGTTTCAATGAAAGTCAATGGGAGGGGGGGTGAGGTGCAAACAAATGGTCATATTCTGAAAACTATCAGGAGTATGTCCTAGCCGTGAACATTTTTAGTGACAGCAGGGGTTAGCTGAACGTTTTGATATAAGATATGTGTAAGTGGGCTTGAAAATGACATAGTTATGGCAGTTTAACAAATCATCTTCTGATTTTTCCTTTCACACTGTAGCTTTCTCACTCTAATGTGACTCAGCTGCCCCCTGAGTGACCTTTGGTTGCACCTGTTACCTCAGTCAGTCACAGGTGTGTGAGGTGCTCTGGCTCTAAACAGGCTATTTTAAACTTGCCAAGTTCACTGCGATTGGCCATTTTCAAAAACGCTGTGAAAAAAAGTATAAATGCTACCGTGAAAAAGGTTTATATTGTGACAATCACAAGAAACAGACAAGGGACTAAATTTTGATGTATAGTTATGTCTCTGAAAGATAAAAAATGAAGGCACAGTCGCAGTTTAAAAAAACGTCCCTTAAAATTTCTTGGGTCTAAAGTGGAGTTTCAATGAAAGTCAATGGGGAGGGATGAGGTCCAAACAAATGGTCATATTATCTGAAAACTATCAGGAATATGGCTTAGCTGTGAACATTTTTAGTGACAGCAGGGTTAGCTGGAACGTTTTTGATATAAGATATGTGTAGGTGGGCTTGAAAATGAAAGAGTGATGGCAGTTTACAAATCATGTTCTGATTTTTCTGATTTTTCCTTTACACACTACTAGCTGTGCTGTGCTGCTCAATGCATTGGAAAATTTCGCCGCAAAAACCGCGATATTTCTTGAATGCAACGATTTGGCGAAACGTTCCACAAAGTAATAGCAATCCGATCGGGAACAATCCGCACGTTTTGATATATTACTTGTATTTGTAGTGTAGAAAACCTGTGGGAGGGAGTTAGCGTGGCAAAAATGGCTATAATAAAGAATAAGAATAAGAATATATTATGTGAGATAACAATAAGTGTTCCTTGCTATGCATCGAACACTTAATTATGGTTTCTAATGATACCACAGGGAGACTGTTTACACCTGATCATTTTGATGTAAAACATTTTCCTGAGCTTTACGCAGGGAACCCTGACAGTCTAGTCTAATATCTCAGCACTGCAGAGTCAGCACCTACTTGAACATTGACAGTAAAACAATTTGCATCTGCCCTCAATCCCCACATTATCAGTCACAGTTGTGCCAGCCGTGATATTTTCCGCCGTGACAACCTCTCTCATTCGGCAAGACACAAAATATAAATGATCTGTCAGCAATGCAGAGGACTGCAGGACTGTGTCTTCCAGGCAGGGCCCCCAGATATATCAGTCTGACATGAAAAAAATCATTCAGCAAAGTAAGTAGCACACAACACAGACAGATTTTTATTTAAATACTGGAAAAAAGTACACCTGTTATGGAACAGGCAAGGTTCGGGTGGTTTGAGCATGTTGGAGATGGGGGGATAAAGGTGCAGTAGTTAAAGCAGGTTCAGATACATTGAGTTTAAAAGGGGGGTGCTTCCATCAAATAAAGGGTAACTACAAGGGGGGAGGAGGGATGCAGTGAGAGTGGGGGGGAAGTGTGCACAGTGTTTGATAAATATTGACATAAAATCAGCAAGATAAATAAAAGTCCAAAATTCATGTGATCCGTGTTGGGGAAATCTGTGATTGGAACTGATAATATGATTGCACTCACCAGAAGCGCAAAAATAAAGTGATGTATATACATTATCCCGTTGTGGTCATCTGGGTACAGGTAAGGATGGTGGAATCATCTGGCACACAGTCAGCATACAAGGCAACTCTAGGCCTCTCTCACAGGACCCTCTCAGCATCCAGGGACAGCTCCGTGGAACTCTCAAACCACCAGATAAAACAGCTCAGAAAAACAGGAATCTCTCCACCTTGGAGGCTCGTTAGTAACAAGCCAGAAACAATAAGGTGCTAATAGTGTAGTATTTTATTGAAAAACAGGAACATAGTATATAGCAGTGCAAAAATAGCTGTCAGCACTCACTCTAGGAATAGTCAAAATGGCCGCTGGCCTTCCATGCAGCCTCTGCGGCGTGATTTCACGGCCATTTGACTAGGAAGGAGCTTTGCTGCAGTGACGTCACGCCGCAGAGGCCACATGGAAGGCCGGTGGCCATTTTGACTAAGGGAGGAGCCTTGCCGCAGTGATGTCAAGCCGTAGAGGCCGCATGGAAGGCCGGCGGCCATTTTGACTATTCCTAGAGGGAGTGCTGACAGCTATTTTTGCTCTACTATATACTATGTTCCTGTTTTCCAATAAAATACTACACTATTAGCACCTAATTGATTCTGGCTTGTTACTAACGAGCCTCCAAGGTGGAGAAATTCCTGTTTTTCTGAGCTGTTTTATCTGGTGGTTTGAGAGTTCCACGGAGCTGTCCCTGGATGCTGAGAGGGTCCTGTGAGAGAGCTCTGGAGTTGCCTTGTCTGCTGACCGTGTGCCAGATGATTCCACCATCCTTACCTGTACCCAGATGACCACAATGGGATAATATATATACATCACTTTATTTTTGCGCTTCTGGTGAGTGCAATCATATTACCAGTTCCAATCACAGATTTCACCAACATGGATCACAAGAATTTTGGACTTTAATTTATCGTGCTGATTTTATGTCAATATTTATCAAACACCAAAGTCACCTTGTATTTATTTATCTATTGAATCACTTACCTAAACGTCATTATATGAAGGTTCACTTTATACTTGTATATCACTTTTTAGCGCAATCAAGCGCTCACTCCAGTCACTTTGATGTTATTTTAAGCGCTGTATTTTCATATATATATTCGTTTAGAGGGTAAGAGGTTTTACCTTAATGCAAGCAGCTATACAGCCAAGCGCTCACTATTACTCCTTTATTTACAAATGACCATGTCCTGCAGCATCCTTTAGCACCTCTGAAAAAAATCCAGTTTCCTTGTCTGTGCCTGCTCGGTGGAATGCCATAAACTCATAGACTTCCATGGAGAATCTATCAATACAAGAGCCACATGGAAGACAATGTGAGGGCATGGCATGTACAGTCATCATTTAAATATTTACCATTCTTTGAGATACTACTGCTCCAGGATTCCCTCAGTGTTGGTCAGATGACTATATACCTGATTGCATTATTTCAGAAACAGTGATATATCAGATCTGTTTTTATCTGGCTTTGCCTAAATGGCAGTCCCCTAAGCCCCTTTAGATGATGTGACCAAAGCTTCTATATTTGGTTATATGACTAGCAACACAAACATCATGGAACTCATGGACTCGGCAGCAACTCAAGGTAATCAGTTTTCCCCCCTTACTGCCACACCAGTATAAAGTATATTCTTTTTATTATTACACTTTGTACCTTGCAACATTTTATGCAACAACCACAAGCATGTCTCCAAATAGCTTTAGTTTTAAACACATTTTATAGAAAAGTGGCCATCTTTGATAAAATACAAACCATAAATCAAACGACAAGTTCAGTGATCTAGAAAATACAAGAGTAACAATAAATTAGTTGTAGAAGAGATAGAGACATATGTATGTCAGAAATTACTTTAGGCATCACAATGGAACCAGAAGATGACTACCCTCTCTTAGCTGGCCCCATAAATCTTTCTGACTTGCAAAAGAATAAATCTCACCATCTTTAAAAATTACTCATCTGACAATAAACATTTGAATGCTGCAGTACTTGGCATTGAATAAGACTAGTAGTACTGTCAATTGTTTTTTACAGTCTTTCCCAACCTTCTTTTACCCAGAGGAACCCCTAGAATAATTTTCAAGTCTTGGGGAACCCTTACTAAAACAATTTCATTGAAAGTAAATGGGGAAGACACCCCTTACGTTCATCGTGAGTAGGAAGAATTCCTCCTGTCAGGTACCTGTCAAATTCGGGTACCTGCCTCCCCCGCTCCCCAAAGGTCTGCAGTCTCTGGTCATCTCCTGTACTGTCCGCAGTCTCTGTTCATCACCTGTATTGTGTCCGCAGTCCCTGGTCATCTCCTGTACTGTGTCCGCAGTCTCTGTTCATCTCCTGTACTATGTCCGCAGTCTCTGGTCATCTCCTGTACTGTATCCACAGTCTTTGGTCATCTCCTGTACTATGTCCGCAGTCTCTGGTCATCTCCTGTACTGTGTCCGCAGTCTCTGGTCATCTGCTGTACTGTGTCCGCAGTCTCTGTTCATCTCCTGTACTATGTTCGCAGTCTCTGGTCATCTCCTGTACTGTATCCGCAGTCTTTGGTGGTCATTTCCTGTACTATATCCGCAATCTCTGGTCATCTCCTGTAGTACGTCCACAGTCTCTGGTCATCTCCTGTACTATGTCCTCAGTCTCTGGTCATCTCCTGTACTATGTCCGCAGTCTTTGGTCATCTCCTGTAGTACGTCTGTAGTCTCTGGTCATCTCCTCTAGTACATCCGCAGTCTCTGGTCATCTGTAGTATGTCCACAGTCTCTGGTCACTGGTCATCTCCTGTACTGTGTCTGCAGTCTCTGGTCATCTCCTGTACTATTTCTGCAGTCTCTGGCCATCTCCTGTACTACAGTATGTCTGCAGTCCATTAGTTCAGAATATTTTTTTTCTTGTTTTCCTCCTCTAAAATCTAGGTGCGTCTTTTGGTCAGGTGTGTCTTATGGAGCGAAAAATATGGTAATAGTAATTCACCAGGTAAGTGCTTTGCAGAAATATGACACAATTAAATAGTCAATAACTTTTCCGTACTTTTGTTGTATGTGTACGTATTATTTTCGTAGAATTAAGATATCATTTAGTGTCATATTAAAGTGTTTTACTAAACCCACAACAGTAAAATCAGTCTGTATATGCAGTAAAGCATGCCTGTTATACTCACTGTGGAACCTAAGAGGTTAATCCTCTGCATTGTGTAAACAGGTCTTTTGATCTTTTCTTCTCTGCCCCTCCTCTTGTTCAAATGTCTAGGCTGATAAGACAGACTTGTGATGCCCCCTTGTGATGTCATAAAGCGCTGTGATTGGCCAAAGAATTGCACCTGACCTGTGGTCAGGTGCATTGCTATGGCCAATCAAAATGCACTGTGAGGGTGCAGTGCATTGTGGGGCAAGGCGGGCAAACAACCCTCTGAACACCCTTACTGTTCATGTGTTCAGCAAACACTTGAACGGCTCATGTTTTGAGTCGAATGTAAGTTCGACTCAAGCATGAAGCCCATCTCTATTGATGAGCCCATGCCACCTGTGGCCCCGAGTCATTACCTGAAGATGAACCTTTGCCAAGTGACTGCAAGATTCTATGATTACATTGTTTAACCATGTTTAGTGGTTCTGCCTTAACTTGTTTCTATTACTCTACTGTTGACCTTTCATTGTGTTGCAATGCCAAGGACAGCATCTGTTAAAGATAGGGGGAGTGTAGGCAGGTGCAGTCTGTATTCTGCACTGTAGGTGGCGCTTGATTGAGTGGTAAGACAGCCTGGGGAAGAAGTCCAAGGGGAACATGGTTTCTCTATGGTTTCCTGGGTCAATGGAGTAGCATTCCGATTGGCTGCGCTGCGGCCATGTGACCTTTGGCAACCATCTTGGGTCAAAAGGGTGTATTTAAGTCCCTGCTTCCCAGTTTTGGTATGCACTTTGCAAGTGGCTAGTGTAGGAAGAGACACCCTGTCACATACCTTATAGTAGAGCCTGATGTGTAGAGGGAGGCCTCTTTTACAGCCCTGGCTAGGGGACCACTGATGTTAAGACATTGGCCACAGGAGTGTGGTGAGATATGAGTGCCTGTTAGTTTTCCAGGTGACTTTAGCCATGAGTAACAGATGATTCACCAAAGATGGGTCGAATGGCCAGAACAGTAGATTGCAGCAGAAACAGCAGACACTGGACTGGGCAGACAGCAGGCAGCTGGCTGGTTGCAGGTGCAGGAGAGTCTGGCTGCACACTGAAGGTGAAGGTTCAGAGGAATCAGGTAGTATGCAGAGCAGACAGACAGATAACTGGATGTGTGGTCAGACAAGCAAGGCCAGCAACAGATGGTCAGATGCAGGCATGGAAAGCAGGCAGAATATTGTCAGGATACAGGTCAGCAACACTGAAGCAGGTAGATGAGCAGGAGACAAAACAATAGCCAGAGACCAGCCAAGGTCAGGGCAGGTAGAGTTCAAGCGTGGTCAGGACAAACCAGGTCAATCACAGAAGTCAAACGTAGGGATAGATGCTAGAACACGGGAATAGCTGTAGATCAGACAGCACTGATGCACTACAGCTGCACTTAAACAGTCCATTTGGAACTAGTGTTAGCAATGGGTGCATGCACACATGTCCACGTCTATGCACAGAAAAGCAAGTACCTGCAGATTTGTGCCTCCGCATCTGTATGCGCCTTGAGCCTTTACTTGCACTATGGCTGGTGCTTTCTTAACAGACCCATAAGGGAAAGTACTAGTGGTAGGAAATGGTTCCAGATGAGTAGGGACAGGCTAGGGACTCACTATCCTGAAAAGGAGCCCTTCCTCTTGGGACCATACTGGCCAGGCTGCACTTCCCCCTCTGAAACAGACACAGTCAGCATCTCTCCATAGCCAGCTCTTTGACTGCATTTACCTGTGAGTTATCTCCCTAGCTGAGCTCTCCCGCTAGGGTGTTTGTATCTTTGGCATTCTGTTCAATACACATTTCAAGTTTATATATATATCCTTTTATTTTCATTTTAAAAGGAATGGGTTATTTTAAAAGGTAAGGGTTTACATATACAGTACTTAAAAAAAACTGGGAATAAATTGTCTATATACTATATGAGAGGGGATTGAGTGCAACAGACTAGGGGACCGTTCATTGTTTTTTATTGAATAAATAACAATGTGAAACTTTAAAGTATATTTCTAACTCAAAATTCATGTTCACAGAAACATATTTATTTTTACTCAGTGTAAAAAAAAATTTCTTGAGTAGTTCATAAGGGACACAGTGACAGTAAACCAATGGGTTTGACAGTATACCAGTCACAGTAAATCAATGAGCTCTATACCACTAGTGGTCTACTGGGTACCCTAATAAAGGTTCAGAGAGATGTAAAACCTTGACAAGAGACTACCTAGTGGGCAAGTAGGTTACTCACTAAAACTGCCCTCCTCCCCAGCTGGCAAAGCATCTAGTGTTCATATTGTTTTGGCATTGAACTAGCACAAAGTAATACTTTGCTTAACCTATGGTCCCATGACAGCCAGCAGTCTGGCACTCTTCTTTCCAGCACTGGAATGTTACCGCACACTAGGACCAGGGTCATGTCATCAGGAAGGAACATGTCCACTGATTCTGCATCAAAAGAAAAGATGTAGATGTAGTGGCCTCTCACTTAGCTAGGATTTTTTTCCTAGAGCCTGGAGGGGGCCCCAGGGAGGGGAGCCTACCTACAGTTGGATTGGTTGTTGGACAGGAGGATCTTCACTGTTCCACCGTCTCCTTGGGTGGACATCCTTAGCAGCAGGGAAGGAGCCAGCCCAGCTAAAGACCTGAAAGCAGCTACCAACCCACCACACTGACAGGACAGGACAGTGTGAGTACATCTACACTCCCTGGGCCAGATAAAGGGAGAGGGCAATCAGGTGTAACACCCAACTAGTTTTCATCCGGGACTACTTAATTCTTAGATCTTGGAATCCCTTGCCCAGGGATACCCTCAGTACAGCCAGGTGAAGAGGAAGGATTTATCTGGGGTCTCAGGAGACACATCAAGGGGACTTCAGTGCTCCTTAAAAGAGACAGTTCTATATTTTTGCGGATCTGTATTTTTTGTACAGTATTGTTGTTAAGAAGTTTTTTTCCCCAAGTTTGCAGTTCCTTGGGCATCCATTCACCCCTTGATCCCATCCAAGTTGTTAACCCCTTAATAAAAACAACTAAAAACCCAGCTCAAAGACTGTATTGCTGACTCCAAGTGTGAAAATGTGGAATATGCGTGACACCTGGTCCTGCAGAGCTTAGGGGAACCCAAATCAAACTCAGTGGCCCTCAAAGGGGTAGCGCTACATATAGAATAGGCATGAGAACAAAGCTGGTCAGGGACCGGCAAGAAGAGTGACTCTGGTAGACTAGTTATCATAATCTGAACTATAAACTAACTCTTTTACTGCCAATGCCATTAGATGTTGGATTTATAGTGACATTCATAGTTATAACACAGGTTGCGCATACACAGAAATGAAAGATGTTTGGGAGGAAAATCACAGCTCCAACTTTCTGCATGCTGAATAAACAGAGCAGACACTTTTTTATCAGATACATCCCATGAGAGCTTTGCAAATCTGTTCTGTTTAGCAAAAGTAAACAAAGGATGAGATTACGGTTTGAGTTAAATTGCTAGCTTCAAAACCTGAAAGGCTATTATGGCACATCAAAAAAATTCTGACTGTTTCTAAAACTGACAATTCTGTTGAAGTTAACTGTCATCAGGAGAAATAAAATACTAGTTCTCTGCCTGTCATGCTGATTCTCTGACTTTAGTGAGACACTGGCCTAGAACAAGAACATTTGAGTACTGGCTGCACACTTGCAGCTGGGCAGTGCTCCAGAAAGCCTTAAAAAGATACAGCTAGACAACTATTTCAGAGAAAGGTCAACTACTACACACCCTACCCCACATACATCTTTTATTATGTTTGCTTTTAAAGTGAACTTTCCATGGCAAGCTGAAGGTCTGCTCTTTACCCCTGACTCCAAACACGAAAGGCTGTAAAACCCATTCACATACAAACTGTTCATCAAAAAATGTATAAAAAAGCATATTTACCTTAACCCCTGCAGGGATGCATGGGTGACAACACCATGCCTCCTGGCAGAACTTGGGCATTCTTATGGGATTCTTGTGCATTCATGTGGGATTTTGAGCTCCCAACTCTACCAAATTGCACAGTGATGTCACCTTTGCCTCCCAGAAGTGTCTGCAGTGCTGATGGGACAGGGGGCTTCGAAAAATTGTACTTTGCATTTGACAAAGAAGGTCTGTTTTAAAGTCCAACTCTATCTAAAACGTTTCTTTTTTTTTTTTTTGAAAGATTGAAGAAGGAATATAACCTCCTTTCCATTGACAGGACTGAGGAGACAATAAAGACACCCACGTTTTTGTATTGCACATGCAAGCAACCCTGCCAGTGCATATGTACAGTATATATATCATGACCATGTCCCAATCAGCACCAATTATCAGACCACAGCACACCAGAAGGATAAGTCAGTAGTTCTGACTCAGTAAAGAGAACTATGTGTCTACTTATGCTGGCCATACATGTATAGGCTTCACTATCCATAGTATTAGTGCAATTGGACAAAGTCCCACACTCTGGCTGTCAGAATACCCAAGCAGTGTCTGTATCTGACAATTTGGCTGACAATTTTCAAACAGGATCCTCAGACAAAAGTTGACTGAATAATCAACTTTTGTCAAACAGAATAGCTCGGTCATACATATACTGAATTTTGGCCAAGCCAGCAGGAATCCACTAACTTCCTAGGAGTGTATGGTCAGCTTTAGAGTTAGGGTGGGCATACACTGCTCAAATTTAGGCAGATTCCTGTTGGTCTTGCCAATATTTGAACAGTGTATGGCTCTGCCAGGACTGCTCTGTTTGACAAAAGCTGATTGTTCAATTGTCTTTTGTCGAAGTAGCCTTGCAAAAATTG